ACTCCTCCTTGTACCTCTGGTAGAATTCGGCTGTGAATCCATCTGGTCCTGAACATTTTTTGGTTGGTAGGCTATTAATTATTGCCTCAATTTCAGAGCCTGATATTGGTCTATTCAGGGATTCAACTTCTTCCTGGTTTAGTCTTGGGAGAGTGTAAGTGTCCAGGAAATCATCCATTTCTTCTAGGTTTTCTAGTTTATTTGCGTAGAGGTGTTTATAGTATTCTCTGATGGTAGTTTGTATTTCTGTGGGGTCAGTGGTGATATCCTCTTTATCATTTTTTATTGCATCTATTTGATTTTTCTCTCTTTTCTTCTTTATCTTGCTAGCGGTCTATCAATTTTGTTGATCTTTTCAAAAAACCAGCTCCTGGATGCACTGATTTTTTGGAGGGTTTATTGTGTCTCTATCTCCTTCAGTTCTGCTCTTAGTTATTTCTTGCCTTCTGCTAGGTTTTGAATGTGTTTGCTCTTGCTTCTCTAGTTCTTTTAATTGTGATGCTAGGGTGTCAATTTTAGATCTTTCCTGCTTTCTCTTGTGGCCATTTAGTGCTATAAATTTCCCTCTACACACTGCTTTAAATGTGTCCCAGAGGTTCTGGTATGTTGTATCTTTGTTCTCATTAGTTTCAAAGAACATCTTTATTTCTGCCTTCATTTTGTTATGTACCCAGTAGTTGTTCAGGAGCAGGTTGTTCAGTTTCCATGTAGTTGAGCGGTTTTGATTGAGTTTCTTAGTCCTGAGTTCTAGTTTGATTGCACTGTGGTCAGAGACAGTTTGTTATAATTTCTGTTCTTTTATATTTGCTGAGGAGTACTTTACTTCCAACTATGTGGTCAATTTTGGAATAAGTGCGATGTGGTGCTGAGAAGAATGTATATTCTGTTGATTTAGGGTGGAGAGTTCTGTAGATGTCTATTAGGTCTGCTTGGTGCAGAGCTGAGTTCAATTCCTGGATATCCTTGTTAACTTTCTGTCTTGTTGATCTGTCTAATGTTGACAGTGTGGTGTTAAAGTTTCCCATTATTATTGTGTGGGAGTCTAAGTCTCTAAGGACTTGCTTTATGAATCTGGGTGCTCCTGTATTTGGTGCATATATATTTAGGATAGTTAGCTCTTCCTGATGAATTGATCCCTTTACCATTATGTAGTGGCCTTCTTTGTCTCTTTTGATCTTTGATGGTTTAAAGTCTGTTTTATCAGAGACTTGGATTGCAACCCCTGCTGTTTTTTGTTTTCCATTTGCTTGGTAGATCTTCCTCCATCTCTCTATTTTGAGCCTATGTGTGTGTCTGCATGTGAGATGGGTCTCCTGAATACAGCAAACTGAAGGGTCTTGACACTTTATCCAATTTGCCAGTCTGTGTCTTTTAATTGGACCATTTAGTCCATTTACATTTAAGGTTAATATTGTTATGTGTGAACTTGATCCTGTCATTGTGATATTAGCTGGTTATTTTGCTCGCTAGTTGATGCAGTTTCTTCCTAGCATCGATGGACTTTACATTTTGACATGTTTTTGCAATGGCTGGTACCTGTTGTTCCTTTCCACGTTTAGTGCTTCCTTCAGGATCTCTTGTAGGGCAGGCCTGGTGGTGACAAGATCTCTAAGCATTTGCTTATGTGTAAAGGATTTTATTTCTCCTTCACTTATGAAACTTAGTTTGGCTGGATATGAAATTCTGGGTTGAAAATTCTTTAAGAATGTTGAGAGATGCACCACGGCTTCGGTAGCAACAGCAGCTCTACGAGGGCCTGAGCTGTGCAAGCACCTCCCCCAGGAGACCGTTGCAGTCGGCCAGCCCCCTTCTCCACGGTAACCATGTGCGACCGAAAGGCCGTGATCAAAAATGCGGACATGTCGGAAGAGATGCAACAGGACTCGGTGGAGTGCGCTACTCAGGCGCTGGAGAAATACAACATAGAGAAGGACATTGCGGCTTATATCAAGAAGGAATTTGACAAGAAGTACAATCCCACCTGGCATTGCATCGTGGGAAGGAACTTCGGCAGTTACGTGACACATGAAACCAAACACTTCATCTACTTCTACCTGGGCCAAGTGGCCATTCTTCTGTTCAAATCTGGTTAAAAGCATGGACTGTGCCACACACCCAGTGATCCATCCAAAAACAAGGACTGCAGCCTAAATTCCAAATACCAGAGACTGAAATTTTCAGCCTTGCTAAGGGAACACCTCGATGTTTGAACCTTTGTTGTGTTTTGTACAGGGCATTCTCTGTACTAGTTTGTTGTGGTTATAAAACAATTAGCAGAATAGCCTACATTTGTATTTATTTTCTATTCCATACTTCTGCCCATGTTGTTTTCTCTCAGTCCATTCCTTTAAAAAATAAATCTGTTGCAGATGTGGAAAAAAAAAAAAAAAAAGAATGTTGAATATTGGCCCCCACTCTCTTCTGGCTTGGAGAGTTTCTGCCGAGAGGTCTGCTGTTAGTCTGATGGGCTTCCCTTTGTGTGTAACCTGACCTTTCTCTCTGGCTGCCCTTAACATTTTTTCCTTCATGTCAACTTTGGTGAATCTGACAATTATGTGTCTTGGAGTTGCTCTTCTCGAGGAGTATCTTTGTGGCGTTCTCTGTATTTCCTGAATTTGAATGTTGGCCTGCCTTACTAGGTTGGGGAAGTTCTCCTGGATGATATCCTGCAGAGTGTTTTCCAACTTGGTTCCATTTTCCCTGTCACTTTCAGGCACACCAATCAGACATAGATTTGGTCTTTTCACATAATCCCATGTTTCTTGGAGGCTTTGTTCATTTCTTTTTACTCTTTTTTCTCTGCAATTCTCTTCTCATTTCATTCATTTGATCTTCAATCGCTGATACTCTTTCTTCCAGATGATCGAGTTGGTTACTGAAGCTTGTGCATTTGTCACGTAGTTCTCGTGTTATGGTTTTCATCTCTATCAGTTCTTTTAAGGACTTCTCTACATTGGTTATTCTAGTTAGCCATTCATCAAATCTTTTTTCAAAACTTTCTTTGCGCTGGTTATGTAGTTCCTCCTTTAGCTCTGAGAAGTTTGATAGACTGAAGCCTTCTTCTCTCGACTTGTCAAAGTCATTCTCTGTCCAGCTGTGTTCCGTTGCTGGCAATGAGCTGCGTTCCTTTGGAGGGGGAGATGTGCTCTGATTTTTTGAATTTCCAGCTTTTCTGCACTGCTTTTTCCCCATCTTTGTGGTTTTATCTGCTTTTGGTCTTTGATGATGCTGACTTACTGATGGGGTTTTGGTATGGGTGTCCTTTCTCTTTGTTAGTTTTCCTTCTAACAATCAGCTGTAGGTCTGTTGGAGTTTGCTTGAGCTCCACTCCAGACCCTGTTTGCCTGGGTATCAGCAGCAGAGGCTGCAGAAGATAGAATATTGCTGAACAGCAAGTGTTGCTGTCTGATTCTTGCTCTGGAAGCTTCATCTCAGGGGTGTACCCTGCCATGTGAGGTGTGAGGTGTGGGTCTGCACCTAGTGGGGGATGTCTCCCAGTTAGGCTACTCAGGGGTCAGGGACCCACTTGAGCAGGCAGTCAGTCCATTCTCAGATCTCAGCCTCCATGCTGGGAGATCCACTGCTCTCTTCAAAGCTGTCAGACAGGGGCATTTACCTCTGCCGAGGTTTCTGCTGCTTTTTGCCTACTGAGTAATTCTATTGCCTGTCAAGTCACTAACCAGAAGCCTGTTCTCTCTTTATTATAAGGTGAAATACAGTCATGGGAGAGGTGTTAAAGGCATGCCAGAACCAAATAGAGACTTTCTCTTTTACAAAATCATAAGGGTTGAAAGACAAATGAACAGGAAATGACTTGCTTTGTATGTTACATGAGGCCATGTCTCTCTGCTCCCATAATCATGACCCCCTAGCTACATGTTGCACTGCTCCAGAAGCCAGAGACTGCACTACAAATGACATCTGTTGTGGTTGTGCAGTGTACAACCTGACCAACCATAAATGTCCCTCATTTTAGAAAACACTGATTGATAGAGCCCAAAAGGCATTGGAGAGGTAACAAATAGCTCAGTCAGTAGTGTTACAGAAGAGAAAAAAATCTTATTACATGGAGACAGCATACCTTAGAACCTATTTTCTGTTTTTATCATTTAATATGATTTCAGACAGTAGAAAGACACATACGGGAGCAGAAAGATCACAAGACCTATGGGTAGATGTCTTCAATTCTAATTTCCATTCTAACACCAAGTTCCTACAAAACAAACATCCTGGTATAGGCATGAATTGACTAGCCCTGGTTGATCACCAAGATCCCTTTAAGGCCATATGATTCCTTACTCTTCACAGCAAGGCACCTGCTATATTTTCAGAAAAGCGCAGCCCTCATTTTAAAGCAGCATCTTTTTCTATCTTTCAAAGTAGGTTAGCAGCCAATTCAAAACACTGAGCAATAATTTGACATCTTCCTCAAATTGAGGTTCCTTCCTGGCATGCAGCCCTTTCCATAAGGAGGTGCTTTCAATGGAGCCACCAAGTCCTGCCTCACACCACAAATGTATTGTTCATTTGTTTGTTTCAAGTCTGCTTTTCCAGTTGCAAATAGGCAGATCAGTTCTCCTGAGATTTAGGTAAAAACGTCTCCTCTATCTGGGTGAGCTTCCTTATAAAATGGCCAGAGAGCCCTGTCTCTTTGTAAGTTTGATGGTACAGCCTTTCTATTTCTGATTTCACCACCTAAAGGCTTCACTGTTTCTCATAAACCATGTTTTGGGCAGTATTTGGGTATTCAGTTTTTTCTTTTGGTAACCTTATTTACCAAAGGGACCCTTTTATTTGGTGAGTGATTCTCGACCTTGGTCACATACTGGACACTCCTGGGGAGGGGGGTTTACATCACACACACCCATGTCCCCCGCATTCCCCCAAGGGTCTGATTTGGTCTGTCTGGGGTTTAGGACTAGATATTGGGATTTTTCTTTTTAAAAAATAATCATTCAGATGGCATCCTTTCCCTTTCACTCTCCCAAAGGAAGAGAAGAGTGATCGTCAGTGGCAAAAGGCAACTGCCGAATGCTCAGGAGTGAATGCTGAGCCGCCTCCTCGTAGTTTCTGCTGCTCCACAAGTTCAGAGAAACCTCTCTGGTAAGAAACTGTAGAAGTGGTGCATGGAAGTGTTACCAGAAAGGGTTCCTGATCCAGACCCTCAGAGAGGGTTCTTGGATCTTACACAAGAATCCAAGAATTTAGGATAAAAAGTGAAAGCAAGTTTATTAGTGTACTAGTCTGTTTTCACACTGCTGATAAAGACACACCTGAGACTGGGTACTTTATACAGGAAAGAGGCTTAATGGACTCACAGTTCCACATGGCTGGGGGAGCCTCACAATCATGGCAGAAGGCAAGGAGGAACAAGTCACATCTTACATGGATGGTGGCAGGCAAAGAGAGAGCTTGTGCAGGGAAACTCCCCTTTATAAAACCATCAGATCTTGTGAGACTTATTCACCATCACGACAACAGCATGGAAAGACCTGCCCCCATGATTCAGTCACCTCCCACCAGGTCCCTCCCAAAACACGTGGGAATTCAAGATGAGATTGGGGTGGAGACACAGTCAAATTGTATCAGTTAGGAAAGTAAAGGAATAAAAGAATAGCTGCTTCATAGAGCAGCCCCAAGGGCTGCTGGTTGCCCATTTTTATGGTTATTTCTTGATTATATGCTAAACAAGGGGTGGATTATTCATGCCTCCCCTTTTTAGGCCCTATAGGGTAACTTCCTGACATTGCTGTGGCATTTATAAACAGTCATGGTGCTGGCGGGAGTGTAGCAGTGAGGCTGACCAGAAGTCAATCTCATTGCCATCTTGGTTTTGATGGTTTTAGCTGGCTTCTTTACTGTAACCAGTTTTATCAGCAAAGTCTCTATGAGCTGTATCTTGTGCCAATGGCCTATTTCATCCTGTGACCAAATGCCCTAAGCTCCTGGGGAGGACCCAGTAGGTCTCAGCTTTATTTTACCCAGCCCCTATTAGAGATGGAGTTGCTCTGGTTCAGACACCTCTGACAGAAGTATAGTCTTAATCAGCATTTTAAAAAGCTCCCCAGGTAGTTCTAAAGTGCTTCCAAGATTGAGACGCACTACACACGATTAGAGCTTTTAAATTGCAGTGGTAAGTCACCCGGAAACCATGCTAAAAAACACAAATGCTGATTCAGTCAGTATGGGGTGGGGGCCTGAGAGTCTGCATTTCTAAAAAGCTTTCAGGAGACCCAGTGCTGCTTGTCGAGGTGCAAACTTCCCAGGTACCAGATGAGATAATCTACTTCCAAATGTCCTCTAGTCAAGCCACGCCTCACGAGCTCTCATGTGATTTTCTTCCTGTCCTAACCCTACACAGAATGAAGTACCTCATGCTATTTACAGGTAGGAAGGCATTTTTGTGTATACACTGTTTTGTTTTTAAATATCTGATAGCAACAAATCTTATTCTAGTCAAACATGAAATATTACCGGAAAAGTACAAAACCCTAAAGTCCAAATTTGGAGTGATGACCTTAGGCTCACAAAACCAGAGTGCAGTTGCTGATGTGGGGGATGCACTTAGAACCTGAGTTGGTATGGAACTTATTTTAAACTGAAGCCACAGAGAATTCAATAGGTGCAGAAAGAAGCCTTCTTGGTGCTTCCTTTATCTGACAAAAAGCAGAGATTTCTGGAAAAATGAGGCTGCCGTACTTCCCTCTTACAGGTGGCTTTTACTTCCAGGAAGAAGATCAAGAAACCCACCATAAGTCTTCTCCCCAGGGAAGTTTTATGGCCATGAACGTGATGCAGAGATCACTCAGGCCTGTATGAACAAGCACCATCCCAAACTCTTCATCTCTCATTTGTTCTTCTAGAAACCCGTGTATTCTTCCTATAGAGGCCTTTTCCCCCACCGCCTCTTTTCCCTACTAAGCTGGGCATACAAGTTTCTAGCTTTAGCTACTTACTGAGTTTCTTCTTTTTGAAGCTCCTATATGCATATAAATAAGGTCCCCTGCCCACCTGTTAATCTGTCTTTTATCAGTTTGATCTGCAGGCCCCCAGGTACTGAACTGAACAGGACAGAGGAAAAGTATTTCCTCCCTGACCCTGAGCAACTGGAGGCTGCTGTTAAGTAACCTTCCTTCATTTCTACATCTGTCCTCCGTCCCTCCTTCTAGCCCCTCAACCCACATTGTGTCTCATGTTCCTATTCACCTAAAAGAAAAAAGGAAAACAAATAATATTGTTTAAATAAACCTCTGCCTTATAGTTTGTAAACTGTTTTCTGTCGTTTTGTTTTGAGACAGAGTCTTGCTCTGTCACTCAGGCTGGAGTGCAGTGGCACCATCTCAGCTCAATGTAACCTCTGCCTCCTAGGTTCAAGCAATTATCCTGCCTCAGACTCCTGAGTAGCTGGGATTACAGGCATATGCCACCACGCCTGGCTAATTTTTGTATTTTTAGTAGAGACAGGATTTCACCATGTCGGTCAGGCTGGTCTCGAACTCCTGACCTCGTGATCTGCCCACCTCAACCTCCCAAAATGCTGGCATTACAGATGTGAGCCACTGAACCCGGTCAACTGTTTTCTGTCCTTGTAATTGGTGTAATTACAATTGGATTAATACTTCACCTGCTGGACACTGGGTAAGAACTCTCCAAGTATAAGTGGAAATTTTTCTGCAAATGGATCTCATGTTACATAGCACAGGCCTACTGTAATACCAGAGTTACAGAATTTGGACTTGAACATCAAATACTAACAGATATGTTCCCTGTGTACATTTTCATAAATCAATCACAAGAATCCTGTAATCCCAGCACTTTGGGAGGCCAAGGCAGGTGGATCACCTGAGGTTGGGAGTTCAAGACCAGTCTGTCCAACATGGTGAAATCCTGCCTTTACAAAAATACAAAAATTAACTGGGCATGATGGCGGGTGCTTGTAATCCCAGCTACTCAGAAGACTGAGGCAGGAGAATTGCTTGAACCTGGGAGGAGGAGGTTGCAGTGAGCTGAGATGGTGCCATTGTACTCCACCCTGGGCAACTGGGCAAGACTTTCTAAACTATCACCCACAAAGCATGATTTTTTAAAAATAAAGGAGCTAAAACTCTTAACAAAATAGATAAGATCTTATCTCACAGATCTTAACAAACAAGTTCCTAATTAAGTAATAATACATAGGAACTCATATTGGCCCAAGGTAGGATCTAGAGGTTTTAGAAACTAGTCTCTCGGCCCTGACTTAGACCACAGGTGCTCACAGCCTCAGGTAGTAGGTCCCTTTGACAGCGGAAGGACTCCTGCATTGCAAAGATCATTCATGGTATTTGTCTACTCGGGCATTCAGAGGAATTTATCTGAGAGATCTCTGTTCCTCTGTGGCCCTGACATGTCTTTTCTCCTCTTGTATTTTCACTCTTACTTTTCTTCTTTCAGCATTAGGAATGCTTTCCTTTGTTCAGGACAGCCCATGAGGAAAAGCCAGCCTGCTGTGTCATCTTAACAACATTCATAAAAGGGAATTCTTCATATGTGCCCTTGGCACACAGCACCCCGCGTCAGTTCTAGGAATCCATGTGTGAGGAACAAAGAGGATTGTTTCGTCTGTAAATGGGCTATTCTGACAACAGGGCAATTTTGGCTTCTCTCTAAGCTTCACAAAGCTTTGCAGCACAACCCTGGCAAGGAATCATGATGACAGTAGCTGATCTGAAGCCACACACACCATGTGCTGGGCCGGAACATGATTAAGGCAATCAAATGCACAAGGTTTAGAGAATGAACTGTTACAAGTTTGTAGGGGGAGAGGATTCAGAAGTCTTTACTCAACGTTCAAGCATTATAGCAAAATGTATCTAATATAATAATAACCATAATTAATATTATTGTAGCTAAACTTTAACACTTGCTACATGCTTGTGATTAAACACGTCAGATTTAAACACATCACTTTAAATAGAATTCCATGAGTTAGGTCTTATCTCCACTTAGGAAATGGGGAAACTGAGGAATGAGGTTATGAAAACTGCCCAAGGTTAATCTGCTGGTGAGAGGCAGGGATGGTGCTGGAATCCAGGCCTCCTAGCCGTTGCTTCCTGCCTCATCTTCCTGTTTTTAGCATCAGCAACATCACATGTTACCTGGAGACCCACTGAACGCTGGATTTGGAGGTTACACTCCCCTCCCCTTCTTCACCTTATGGGTGAAAAAGCAGACTTGGACAGGTCACTTGAGTTGCCCAAGGCCAATTTAGGTGGAGCTAGGAGTATGACCTAAGCCTCCTGAAATACAGCTTAATAGGCTTTCTGCCACCCCGGGTTATGTGTATACTCTTTCATCCAATTAATTTTTCAGCCAACAGCTACATCCTTTCATTTGAGCCCTGTGCTTTCAAATTACATGTCTTACCACTCAAAGAAGTGGGACTAAATCCACAGAGTTATGCAAGCTTAAAGGTACCTCTTAAAGATCTGGAAGCCTACAGTACAGTATTATTCATGTCAATACACAGCCAGGAGATGGATCTCTATATTGCCTTAGGTAACTCTCTTCTTAAATTAAAACACAGACTATGTTACAGCAAGTCATTGAGAGTCATAAGAGGCAAAAGTGAGAAAGTGAATTGATCAAATCACCCACAGTCATGGTGCAGACATCAGTTTAGGCAAGTCATCATTTAACCTAATTGAAGAGTTAATAGTTCCTACATTCTTTACCTTCAACTTTTTATTTCTGGCCCTGAGTACTTCAGATGTGCTGCCCTGAGAACTCCATACCACATTCCTTTGACCCTTCTTAATCCTCCAGTGACATTACCAGTGAGGTTCTGTTATTAAATCCATTCCATAGTCCCAAGAGACCGAGGTTTAAAGAAATGAATCAATGTGCCCGAGGTTGCTGGAGACTTTACCTGAATCCAAGTGATCCAGGTGCCAGGGGTCGGTGGCAGACGACATGGGGGAGAGGGTCAGCGGCGAGGCTCCGCAGTTGGACTCCACCAGCTCGCCCTGGATGTGGACGTGAGCCGAGGCGTTCGTCTGCCTCAAGGCGGCCTTGAGAGGGGCGATCTGGTTGAACTGGACTCTGGAGAGGCAACCAGTGAATCCTGGGGTATTGTATTTGTGAATCTCTTGGTCAATTTTCCCTGTTTCTAAAAGAAAAAAAGAAATGAAAATGTAATGCGACTGACCATAGTCCAGCTGTACAACATACCTGTCTTTGAATGCTTGTGTCCAAATCTTACATTTAGGTTTCAGTTTAAGATGTTACATTGTTTTAGGTGAAATATTAATGAGTCAATAAGACTTAGGGCTGCAGACTTTAAAGGAATCTTGTGTTAACAGAATATGGTAGGGTGAAAATAAGACTATATGCAATAAAATACATTTCTCAGTACCTTTTGGCTACTTCAGATGCTGCTGAAGCTCACCACAGTGACTTGGTCCTGATTGATTTTTCTCATCTTTTCTGATGCTTCCCTGACCCTCTTAACAAATTGAATAAAACAGCCCTGCTCTGCCCTCCTGGCAAACTATGGTTCTGTTTTGTATCCCTTACTTATTTTCTTCAGAAATCTTAAAACATAACAAAAATGAACAAGAATTCCAGCAGCCTGTACGTGAACATCCCCTTTCTTCAAAATCCAATCCCCTTGGAATTCTGAGATATACGGAATCCCTGCTAGAGTCTGATGGAGGTTTTGGCAGTCAGGAAACTTTCCCAACCCAGTCACAAATGTACACATGCCTTGATGAATCTCACCATCTCCCCGCCACCTGTAGGCTCAACATCTTCCCAAACTAACTCAGCTCAGAGGTGAGACTGAGTAGAGGCAGTTCCAAGGTACCAAGTGCAATGTACCCACACATTGTTATACCAGTTGAATCAATGTCTTTTGGCCCTCTGTCCCAGGTTTCTAACAGAAACAAATGTTGAAAAGGTCCTTAAATGCTTAAGAGCCCTTAGCTAGTGGGCCAGGTGGACTGACCTCAGAGCCTTTTAACCACTACTGGGAACTGTGTGAAAAGGGTAATTCCAGTGGCAGTGTCACAATTGCTCTGAGCAAGTGCTGCGTTAACCCCTCATGTCCCTGCCGACTCCCTGGGCTCACAGGAAGATTCTTTTGCCCCAGGGCTGAGGCAGGGTGCTGCGGGGGACCTGGATAAAGTGCCTTGTTCTTCTCCAGCATCTTTGTTCGCTTGCTTGCCCTTTGCTGAAGCCGTTCTGTTATCTATCGTGAACCAGTGTTTGTTTTATCTCGTCTGTTAGAGATCTGGGTAGAAAACTTCTGACTCCGGCTCCCTGTCATAGGGTCCCTGACAGTTTTCACAGCTTTGAGGAGGGCAGGTTTCCCTATGACACCACAGAAAATCAATCGTTTCAAAGCCGTATCTATCTGCGGGGTCCCAATTTAACATGGAGTCCACACTTCTTAAAGAGCTGTCTTCCCCTTGGTATCTCCTTCTGAGGTGGCCTCCAGGGAGGGAGCCTGCGGCATGGGGTTCCGATGGTGGAGCAGGGAGAGATCGTGGGTGGCAGCAGAGGTGTCCAGGCCCAGGCCTGTGGGGCTGCGAGCACTGGCAGAAGCGTCCACTGAGCAGCAGAAGCTGGGGCTGGATGGCAGGAATGAGCCCTGGCGAATGACCTGCTCTCACGTTTCCGTTCTCTTTGGGGCTCTTTCACTCTCTTTAGCTTTTCTCCTTTCTGGGCCTTCTCCCTTTTGGGGAAAATTCCCAGTGTTTCGACTGTTGTTTCTTTCCTATAAGGCAGCAGGGTCACCAAAAGGAGGATTCTGATGCCCTGGAGGGCAGAACCAGTATTTCCCAAACTGGAGTGTGTTCCACATCTAGTTGATGTACCCCTTTCCTAGAGACCCTTGACTGGGACCAATTCCCCTGGGGGGACCAAAGTGCAGTAGATGCTCTGGAGTTTGCAGGACCTGATGGTTCCAACTGAGGGCCATGTGATAAGAATAATATTGATACAATGGTAGAGAAAGGTGGCAGAGAAAATCTAGGCAGAAAGGGGCGGGTTCCTGTCAAACCCTCACCCTCAAGCCAGAAACTGCAGCCCAAAGTGAGAACTTACATCCCTGTTTTCTGGCTCAAATGTTGCCTTTTCCAAAACC